TATTGGGGAAGATAGTATTCAGAACCTTAAATAGAATTTACAACAGTCCATGCTCAATGCTCTGCATTCAACAAAATGAAATTGCAAGGCAAGACACAAAATAAGAACAAGAGCAGCTGAGAGGGACAAAGGACGGTGGGGTTCAATAAAAAAGTCAGAAAATCAAAAATTTTAGTTATCAAAAATAGTCTTCACAATAGTATGAATTAAAATATTCCCATGATAATATTAGACAACAAATTGATGAATTTAATTTGAGTCCTAAATATTACTAAGAAAAAAACTCCAAAATGCTAGGTGTGAGAAATAGAAATTTAAACTAACACAAAAATGTTTTAGCATCATAATGTACACAAAATGATTATTGGTGAATTAGCACATAGATAAGGAGAAAATATCAAAATTGAAAGATGGAAAGACATATAGTATATGCAAAAGAAAGAAAGAAAGAAACAAAAATGTCTAATGTGTATAATTCAAGTCTCAGGGGAAAAAAGAAAATACAGTAAAATGAATATGTGAAGAGATACTTACTGATTACAAACTTTTCAAATTGATGAAAAATATTATGTCACATTTTCCAAAAGTATAATCTAGCAAAACTCAATGGTTATATAAATGTTAGTCTTGCCACATGACTTCAAATTCCATTGAGGGAAAACAATAGAATCAAATTATAAAAAAGTGAGCTTATTGTAACTAAAGACAGGAGATGACTTTATTAGTCAATTTTCAGTTGCTGGGACAAATTACCTGACATAAACACCTTCAAGTAGAAAACATGTATTTTTGGATTTTGGTTTCAGAAGTTTCATCCATGGGCATTTGCTTTCAGGCAGAAAATAAACAGCATGGGAAAAAGACCATGGTACAAGAACATTGCTCAATCCATGGCATCCAGGGAGATTAGAAATAGCCAGAGAAAGAGGAAGGGATCTGGGAACAAGAATATACTTTTCCATGTTGAATCCTAACTTTTTATTTCAATTTAAAAATTAATATCATTTCAGGTTATTGGCATTTCTTTTTTAAAATTTTTATTGAAATAATTAAAAGGAAGAAGGAGGTTAAGATAAAAGAGGACATAACAACATAATAACACAGGTCAGAACAATTTAAGCATCATAGTGTTTCACCACAAGATAACCTGACACAACACTAGTTACTATAGTGTCTCTTTCCTTGAAATATTTGAGTATAACTTTGTATATTATAGCATCAAATACAACATGACAGTGTAAAACCATTCAAGAGAATGAAAGTATTACAGGGTATTTAGAACTAACTTACAGAAAATGAACAATGATTTGTATATTATCTCCTTGTCTGTAAAATTTTTTGTTTATACTATCATATATAATAAAATCCAATAAGATATAACATGATAAACTGATGGAGACAGAAGAACAAAAGCTTCATGGGACTTTAAAACAAGATGATATTAAATCAGCACTAGCTATTATATTGTCTTGTTTTCTTCAAAATAACTGTTCATACCATCACAGACAATAAAATCAAACAACCCAGAATAAAACCATTCCAATTAATGAATGAAAACATAAGGCTTCAAAGCAGAAGAACCCCCAAGAGTCCTAACTTCTAACAGCACAGTCAGCTATGAAGTCATCAGTGGATTAATTCATTGATGTGTAGATCACTCTGTGATACAAATACTTGCAAAAGTTCAACTGCAGAAAATATGTCACATATCCACATATCACAGGTTGACATTGCTGATTCAATGGAAACATGCAGATGTACACACAAAACATTAGTAATTAACAGTGATGACATAGCTAGTTATAATATAAACCATCAATGTGACATGATATTACCACTTAGCATTTTCAGAACTTTTTAAACACCAAACAATTAAAATTTATATAGTAATCATTATGTCAGATGACTTACTCAATACCTTGTATTTACTAACTTACTTAATTCTCATAAACTTACTATGAAACAGGCCTTTTATTATTGTCAATTTATATCATACAATGCTGCAGACTGAGGCCAATACATCTAGATAGTATGCTCATTTATACAAACTACATGGGTTGATTGAATTCTAACCATTGAAATCTGAAAACTGATCCAATATATTCTATACTACCCCCATGCCTTACAGAAAAAAATGTCTCTGTACAAAAAGAACCTCTGCATATGAACATATCAGCTCAGTAAAATGTGTGCCTGTATTAAAAATAAAAGGAGGTTCATCTAAATATGGGTAGAGTTTTCAGGATATTTGCCTACTTCTAGAATATTGACTTTAATTTTTAAAATTTTGAATTTATAGTTTTAATTTATTTCTAATTTTATTTTCAAATACATAAAAGTATTAATGAGGTACCAGACATTATGTTTTAGCACATGTGTACATACTTTAATATTTAAGTTAGGATAAATCTTTATCTCCTCACATTTCTTTAGGGTGAAAACATTTAAAATCCTTTCTGCTGGCTTTTGAGATGCTTCATGCATTACTGTGATCTACGGTCACCATAGCACATCAGAGCTGTTTGCTCCTATCTATTGATCAGTGTTCACTGATCAGCATTCTTCTGTTTTTCTTGATCTCCACACTCATTTGCTTCTGAAACCATTGTTTTACTTTCAACAACTATGAGATCAATTGAAAATAACTTCTTTTATAATTAGAAATGTAGCAGTTATAGTGTTGATTTATTTTTTGCAGAAAAAGAATGAACTAATTTCAACAAACTTGTTCCCAAAATAGTATTACTCATAATCAATTGTGTTCTTTTTGACCTTCAGAATGGAACACACAGCTCTTTTAAAATATGAGCTTTGTTCTAGAGAGTTTTAGATACATTAGTAGTTTTATAGCACAAATTCCCACAAAAATGAAGTATATTATCCCTTCTTTTTAAAATTTTTTATTTATTTTTAACAGATTTAAAAGAGAGGAAAATAATATGCACTTATGAACTACCATGTGATTTTTTTATAAAAGTACAACTTTTATACTTTTAAAATCAGATACACGTGACAAAAAATAAACCCTTTTGCACTGTTGCAAATGTCCAGGCAGGATTAGAGACTAGAAAAACACTGATTCTGTTTGCTTTTATTTATTTTTCTATAACTCTTGGTTAAGTTATGTCCTGTATGTACGATGTTTGCATCAGGAATTCATTAACTTCTTTACTATTTGAACTTTAAGCAGTAGAAAATACTCCCATTTAAATACAAACACACACACACACACACACACACACACACACACACACACACACTTACTAGAACATCCATAACAACCAATGCTTGGAGAGAGGCAAAGAATGCACATGATGCATAAACACACAAACTACTAATTGGAACATTAGACAAGACTGTGAGTGCTTATCTGATCTTTAAATATGATTAATTTCTCTAAAAGTTATGCAAATTTCAATATTTCATATCAAAAGATAGTTGAGACTTTCTTAGGCTACTTATTTGGAACTATTTTCACTGCTTCTTTTCTTGGTACAGTATGGATTAAAAAGCTCTAGTCACTTAGTTATACCTTTACAACTTCTCAAAAAAGTAGTTACCTAGAGAAATAGAGTAAAATTTAACAACAATGAATAATAATCTTACACAGTATGATCCAATCCTATAAAATACAGAAACAAATTTTTAAAGAGTATTTGACTAGTACAAACACTGTGGAAATCAGTGTGGAGATTCCTCAAAAAATTAGGATTAGAGGTCCCATTCAACCCAGGTATTCCCCTTCTGTATATCTTCCCAGAAGGATTGAAAAACATTATACCACAGTGACATATGTGAAACCATAAGGTTCAAAATATACAATAGTCACTGTGAAATGGGAGGAAACTGTTCAATAAAAAGAAGAAACTAAGATAGGGGAAAAGAGAAAGGATAGAAGGGAAAAGGAAAAAATGCAAGTTAGTTATACCATTAGTGTCACTTATTTCACTGAATAGGAAAGGTTGTGCTAATATTGATTGAAGAAATTTTTATGCCCATATTTTGTACTTGAGTGACTAAAGATAATGATGTGTAATTTATCAACAATTGTTACTTTTTCATTATTTTGTTGTGAAAATTTGTTTTATCTTTTCTTCTTAATATTAACAAATAAAGTAAAAAAAGTATTTGACAAACACATTTATATTTCTATACTTCTGTATTAAAAGACACATTTTCCACTATATTAGTTTTGGGATAAGAATTTGATGCATACTTTCCTAAGACAAAAATCGATGAAGGGTTAGTAATCAAATAAAATACTCAAGACAATGCATACGATAAGATCAATCCAAATGTTTACAAAGGATATGCCTATGTACCAAAATGCTGCCATTTCTTTTGTCTCAACTTAGGCAAGTTGTCCAATGTAAAGGTTAAGGAAATCTTGCTTCCCTAACTGACTGTTTGAAAGTGCTCATTATTTTGTTGCAAGATGTTTGATAATATGTGTATTATAATATAAAATAGATAATTTTGAACACAGCCATTTTACTCTTCAACATTCTTTAGATTTAATCAGGGAGCATTCCTCTCCTTATCATACATCTATTATCCTCCTTAAATGAAAGTAGGAAATAATTTGAAATGTTGGAATATTCAAAAAGTGTGATTGACTTGGGATAGGTTGAAAGTATATAAATTATTCACATATAAGATGAATAAACATAGTATTATGTTATGTTAGGACAACAAGTTGAAGCAAAACAGAGACAGCATGATGCTATCTTGAACATATTTATATTTATGTACAAAAAAGCCAACAATACAGTTTAACTATTGTGACTACTGCATTCGAAAAATGATCCTGCAAAATATTAAAATTAGATTCTTCAATATATGGTTGGCTTAAAATATATAAATTGCTTATGTGTAAGCATTTTTATTTTTTAAAAGTTCTTTTCTTTATGATTTTATCAAGAATCAAAATTCTGAAAAAAGAATTTGATGCATAAAAGAAATCCTTTGACATTGAGGAAGAAGTAATTTTGGAGATCTAACTAGAAGGTAGAGTGTGTTCGCATCAAGTATTTTCCCATGACCCTCTTCAAGGACCCCAGGACCTCTTTATTCCTTAGGCTGTAAATGAGGGGGTTCAAAGCTGGGGTGACAATTGTGTAGAAAGCTGAAGTGATGTTGTCCTGTTTGGGATTGTGGAAGGAACTGGGTAGGACATACATGAGTGTAGCTGCCCCATAAAACATCCCTACCACAGTCAGGTGGGAGGAGCAGGTGACAAGGGCTTTCTTTCTGCCCTTTTTTGAGGGCATGTGGAGCACAGTGAACAGAATTAATGTGTAGGAGGCAACAATGGCCACAAGAGGGAGAATCAGGAAGGACACGCCCATCGCATAAACCATGAGCTCATATCTGGTGGTGTCTGCACAGGCCAGCTTCAGCAAGGGTAAAATCTCACACAGCAGGTGTCTAATCTTCCGGGATTGGCAGAAGGGGTAGTGCATGGTGTACACTGTATGTCCTAGAGCACTCAGGGATGACAGAATCCAGGATAAGGCTACCATGAACCAGCAGACTGTAGGCCTCATGAAGACCATGTAGTTGAGAGGATGACAAATGGCCACATACCTGTCATAGGCCATGAAGGCCAGTAGGAGGTCCTCGGCACCACCCAGTGTCAGTGCCAGAAACATCTGAAGGGCACAGCCTCCAAAGGAGATGGTGTTTTCTCTCTTCAGAAAATCCATGAGGGCCTTGGGAGTGACAACCGATGTGAACAGGAGGTCCATGAGAGAGAGCTGCCCCAGCAGGAGGTACATGGGCACGTGAAGCCAGACATCAACTGTGATGACCAGGAGCAGTAGGCCATTGCTGATCAGGGCCAGCAAGTACAGGGTTGTGAATGTGGCACCAAGTAGTTCAGGAGACCCACTGTCATTCAGGATCCCCACCAAGATGAAGCCACTTCCTAAGGTGGAGTTCCAGAGCTCCATTTTGTGTGGTTTCTTCAGCTGCCTAAAAACAGATGGATTCTCAGTTGTTAGTTTTGTTACAGCAGAATCCCCTTAGAATATCCCATATTTAATTCATGAGAAGTTACGTTTTCCATTAGAAATTGAATTCAATTCTTGATTTCTGACTGTGAATTTAGCTTAGTAATATTCATCTCAATTTAATTATTGTGAGAGTAATGGCTAAACATTGAGATAGCTACATGAAATATTATTGAGGTCATTAGACCTGAACAATTCTATATCCAGAAAGATTAAATTGGATCTTTGTTAAGGTTAAGGAGACATTATGGCATACATGTACTTATGCAATCTTGTAACAACAGGGTAATGTTTGACATTTTAATTATCCAGTTAGTTTTCTGTATAGACCTGTTTTTATAGGAGATTCTGAACTGGCATTGAACTATGACTTAAATAAAGCAATTCCCTTTCTTTTCCCACTCATTCAAAATTTATATTTGTTTGTAGCATTTAAGGTTATGGACACAATCCTCATTAGAAGTACTTAAGCTCATTTACCTCCCCTGCCCAACGCTGTGTTCTCCGTGGAGAAGGAATGTAGAGGGTCTAAAACTAGAACAGACTGCATTTTATGTGTTCCTTTTAGAACTAAACTTTTAGGCTGGCAAACCTGATTTTAAACACAATATGATACAATGCAAGCCCAGAAGGTCTAAGAAATATAATAGAAAAACCCATATCATAAGGATGAGAGTTCATTTGGGAGAAATGATGAAATGCAGCTAAAGAACACCTATGGCATGTCATATTCAGAACCATGATCTTATCTTTTCTGTCTTTGACCCAGTTGGTCACTTTACCTTCTGGAATTTCAGAGCATTTATGCTGTGAGAAAGACCATAGGGATTGGGAGGAAGAACTTGCTTTCTGTAAAGCATCTTGTATTGCAGGGTACCCAGTCCCACAAAAACCTGACAGAGGCAAGAATCTAAAATTGACAGCAGGAATCATGGGATGGGGCAGATGAAACAAACTCAGATCTTGCAGTTCAAGATTAGAAAATTAAACACTACTTTACAAAAATTTTATTTGCATCATGGCACATAGATTCTTAACATTTAATTGGTTTCCAAGGGCCTCTTTAGGATCATTAGTGCTTAGCAGTTAAAAACTATGAGAAAATGCTACTGCAGTTCATGTGATCCTGTTATTCACGATCATCACCAAGATGAAGCCACTTCCTAAGGAAGAACTCCAGAGCTCCATTTTGTGTGATTTCTTCAGCTGCCTAGAAACAGCTGGATTCTTCTTATATGGCACTTTTGATCATTCATCGTCTAATAGGTTCAAAAATGCATTGCCAGAGGCTATCACGATACACAGGTTCTAAAGACAAGTATTGAGATTTTGTCCATGAAGTAGATACTCAGATGTGGCCTATACAGCCAATTATTTTTCAGTCCTTGTTGGTTCATTGTTTATGTTAAGAAAATAAAATACAGAAAAAGAGAAGGGCAATAGAGAAACAGACAGGCTGTGTAGTGGGTGTTCTTAAGTTTGGCTTTGAAATTTAGTTTTTGACTCAACCACACCTAGAATTTATGCATTTCCCTCAAAGAGAAACAAAGTCCTTACCTTAAGTTGTCGAATTGTAGTTGTCCAACTATAGACTTCTCGTATTTAAAGGTTATTTGAAGATTAAAGCTATTCCTTCAAAAATGGGGAAGATGAATTACTTTTATTGCATTCCCTGGGTGTAATTTTAGCTAAACTGATGTCTCAGGTCCTTTCTTTTTCCTTCTGTTACAATGTTCAAGTCTTCTCTGGTCATGACAGTGTATACAGACAGCTGACGCAGTCTCTGAGTAGTTTACTATAAAGCAAGAAGGAGGCTTCAATGTTCTCACACCTGAGAAAAATGAGTAGAAAATACTTCTGCCATATAGTAACATGGAGAGAACCCCTGTAGCCTTGCAACAGTTGTCAGACTGAGTTCTTGGGTCCAGATGCCACACTCTCTTTTATTCTCACTGGCATGTGGGAGTAAAGGTGAAAGCCACAGGATTCTGGTAGATACCAGAAGAGTCATCCTAAAGAGGCACTGATGTTTGTCCACAGACTCCCTGAGGCCGGCTCCTTGGCCCACTGCAGGACTCTGATTTCCGATCCATGACCTTTTCTTGCTTCGCTGTCCTACACCCAGATTCAGAGAGACTTATTCTATCACTGAAACCTATATTCCCTGGCTCCCTGGAAGTATAGGTCCAGGGAATAGGTTGTTAATGAACTCTCTTGGGGATGTTTCTGACCTGGTATTCCTGTGGTCTTCTCTTACCAAGTGAGCTCCATGGAGCAATAGATTTGTGTTCGACTCTGAAAGAGATGCTGAATGCCCATTTCTAAATTTCATACTGAGATCTAGTTGTGGTGTTGTAAACAAGCACTTGGGAGGCTGGGACATGAGAACAACCGCCAGTTGAAATTCAGCCTGGGATGCATAGTGGAGTCAAGGCCAGCCTGATTTACACAGTCAGACCCTGTCTCAGCTATATCCCAATAAACTAAATTGCTTACTAAATGGATCAGGAAGAAAGACTCATGTGAATGCATTTCCTCTGCCTTAGGGCATGTACTGGGTTTCCTGGCTTACTGTAGGATACTTTTCTTCTTTATGGTGCTTTCAGCCTGTACAATTTCCAACTCAGTGTGACTGCTCTGTGTGAAGTCTGTAAAGAGGAGATCTTCCCTTCATTGATGCCTGGCAATCCTGCATTGTTTAAGCATGGATACATGCGTTGGTGTTACTGTTGTCTGCCACCAGAGATACTCAAAGGGAGAATTTAACTTTTCAAATATTGAGCAGAAAATTAAAAATAAATCCACAGAGTTCTGAAATTTTAAAATGATTAATAATCATTCAACTCTTCAAAATTCCCCCAGAGACAAAGGACAGATTAACCATTAAGTAAATATACTGAGATGATGGGGGCTAAGAATTCCAGTAATAGGACAAAGGAGGAATATCTTCATACTTCATAAGAAAATTCCACACAATTGTCCATAAAAAAGTTGAGCTCATAGAAGTAGTTTCCAAAGGCCAGTGAGAGAGAATGGGGTAGTTATGGAGTTATCAATCACAGGATTCATTTCTCCAGTTAGAGGGGAGGAATAACTTAACACACAATATGTATAATATACTCACTATAGTTAATATTGATAAATTGTATTCTTGAAAAGTGCTTAGAGGACAGATTTAATTTTCTCATTATTTAAAGTGATAAAAAATGTGAGGTAACACAAATGTCAATTAGCTCAAGTTAGTTATTCCACAATGTGTACCTACATCAACATATCACAAAAAAAAAACAACAAATATATATATAACTTTTATCTTTTAATTTAAAAAAAACTCAGGAATTTAATATTAAAAAAGAGGCTGAGACTTTCAAATTCATTTTGATTTCTACAGAGTAACACTTTGTGTTACTATTTAACCTTTCCACTGTTGATAGACATAAAGGTAGTTCCCAGTTTTTGTTCTAAAGGCAACAGTACATAGTTTACCTATGTAAAATCTCCTGTTGTAGTCTGCATGTTAAATATTCCCAAAGTGTATATGACACTCCGGGGTCTGGGGTCGACACTGAGTACTGTAGTGTCTCTTTTAGAGCACTTTCTTTTCCTCTCTCTTTTATAATAACAATTACACATTTTGGGTTTTATGACTCCTTCAATTCTTATTACTTTTTTGAAGAGAATAAAACCAAATGTGACAAAACAAAATAGAGTCAGTCAAAACAAAAGGATGGACATAGTACATGATGTAAAAACAAAATACAATGTGATCAACAATGGTTACCACAATGCATCTTGCTGTTTTCAAAAGAATTGCCCATATCATCAGGTATCATGAAATTGAACAAAACAGTACAGAACAAAATCAATAAAGATGAAAGTTTGGAGACATTACAGGACTTCAAAAGAAGTTAACAGTTAAAGCAGAATGGGTATCAAAGTGAATCTTATTGTCTTCAAAGTAGTTCCCTGTATCCTCAGGCAACTGAGGATACAGCAAACTACAAAACAGAATAGAGTAAAATCAGTCAAAATAGACAGAGAAAGCAATACGGGCTTCAAAATCAAGTTAATAGGAAATAAAAAATGGGTACCATAGTATATCCTGCTATCCATACCATCAAATCTAATACAAGAAGACAAAGTGGAACAGAATAAAACCAAACAGAATGATGAAAACAATATGGGTTTCAAATCATGCTAAAAGATAAACAATGGCCACTGCCTTCCCTTGTTAGACAATTGCTCCTTTTTCACTTTCTTTTTAATTTTTTATTTAAAAAAATAATTTTATTTAAAGAAAGACTAAACAAAAGAGCAAATGGGTAGAAATAATACATTCATTCAAAGAAAAAATAAACAGTAAGAACGCACTTGTTGATGTTTACATATTGTCCTCTTACAAATAATTGCTCAAGATACAAAAGTGGAAATATAAGTGGGAATTCAAACAGTGAGACTACAAATAGTTCTGTTCAACTATCAACAAAAACTTAGCAACACGTTGTTATCAATCCTATGCACTTAAACATACATGCAGTTATCTATATCTTCATTTATGTTGAGATTAAGCAAACCATGGCCACCTAAAATCACGTTGAACAAAGAATACTAGTATTGCTGGATTTCTCATTATGACACTCCGGGGTCTGGGGTCAGCACTGAGTACTGTAGTGTCTCTTTTTCTTCAAAGTATTTGTTCATTTTGTCATGTGTCATAAGATCAATGCTTGTAAACTATTTATAGGTTCTATAAATGCATGCATGAGTCTTAACATGTATTTCTATCCTTTCAGTATGAGAGAGAGACAAAACAAAGCAGGACAGAACAAAACATATTCCTATAGACACATAAAATGAAAGACATATAAAACCACCTTACAGCAGTTCTACCATGATTACTGTGTTGTCTCTCGTTATCTTCAATAGAATTGGCTATAACA